AAGTTTAGAAAGTCGCCACATGCGAATGACCATTGTGTATATGTCTAAGATAGAAGCCCCTGTTCTCGATCTCCGGCCACTACTCTACTGCAGATATGTAGATGATTGTTTTGTCGTCTTCTATACGCAGGAGGAGATGGACAAATGCTTTGAATTATTGAACGAGCAGTCCGAGTACATAAAGTTCACCCGGGAGAAACCAAGAAAAAACTGGCTTCCGTTTTTGGACGTTCAAATAAACCTATCAAGTAGCGGTTACCTGACAAAGTGGTATCGAAAGCCAAGTAACCAGAACATTCTTGTTCATTTCCTTTCTTCCCACCCTTCACACACAAAGAGGGCGATTGTGAGAAACATGTTTCGAACAGCCACCTCTGTGTGCACTACCAGGGAACTAAAGAAGAATCGCGCGACTTGGCTCGGCAAATAGCCATCTCCAATGGCTACGAAATAGTAACCCCACGAGATAATTTTACAAGGAGAACGACGCGCCCACGCGAAACAATTGGCCAAAACAAAATCCCGTTTATGTTGCCTTTCATAAGCGATGAAGTAAGCGCAGCTATGAAACGATGCTTAAGAAGGGCAGATCTAGAGGAATCGGTAGCGATAGTTGAAATACCACCGGCTACTCTACGTCGCCAATTAGTTCGCAACCGCCTGTATGACCGTCTGTGTGAAACAACAAATTGCGTAATTTGCCCTTACGGCAGGGACGGTGACTGCATGAGTTCAGGTACGATATACCTGATCTCGTGTAACAATTGCGGAGATGAATATATTGGCGAAACGGGCAGACCTTTGTGTATCCGTATAAAAGAACACCAAGATGGCAAACGAAAACTAAGACGAAGTACCTCACTAGGCACGCATAGGATACAAAAGCATAGCGGAGACGATTTTGAAGTAAAAGTCAATATCCTTGCACAGGAGTCCAAAACACCAGCGCGAAAACTCCTTGCGGCTTTTTGGATAAATGCCAAAAACCCTACAATGAATAGCAGGGACGAATGCCCGGAGGTCATACGCGACCTGATCCCGTTGTTCGCATCGATTTTTGATGTGGGATGGTGCAGTCGTCAACCATATGCGACTATAATCAGCTGTTCTAAACTTCCTCATTGGCTTGGATCAATGCCAAAAACCCTACAATGAATAGCAGGGACGAATGCCCGGAGGTCATACGCGACCTGATCCCGTACGTTCGCATCGATTTTTGATGTGGGATGATGCAGTCGTCAACCACATGCGACTATAATCAGCTGTTCTAAACTTCCTCATTGGATGTCACGAAAAAGCGGTGGGTTTTTTCGAGAAGTTGATCATGTAATTACCAAGGAGTTTTTCGTCTTTTTGTAAGTGTTATTGAAGCGTTTACCCTAGTAGATTGTATATCAGTATACCCTTCCAGGCTCTGAAGAAGGCGATACTGCCGAAACGTCAGCCAGTGTTGTATTGTATTGTGTTTCTCTATGGAAGTAAATGTATGCTGTTTAAAAACCTCGCGATTGCTGAAGAAGAAAACGACGCATTCATATTCCAATGCCGAGGTTAAGAGAAAGTCGATCCTGGGAACTGTTACTTGAACACTTGATTGGCCCGTCTCCACGAATCACCACGATTCGTGCGGATGGATCTCAACATGCTTTCCATTTTCTTGGCAATTTGCTGGCTCTACAAGATACTCGTCCTCTGGAAAGTTGTGCATAGGATTTCCTATCTCGTCAACGTTCAGTTGGCAGAATGACAATGATCTTGGCACTGATTCTTTACTGTTATTTGGTCATCTAGACGGAAACGAACCTGCCGTCTCAGCTCTATTGACGAAATGAGCAGTTCGTAGTACGCTCGAAATTCAGTACCTAAGAAAACCCATCAGCCATAATGAGGCAGAAAATATGACATTAGAGGGGAGGGTGGAGGAGGAGGAGGAATTCTCATGTTAGCCGAACTAGTAGAATAAGTGCCGAAAATCTATTCATGCTACTTCGGAGCTCTGAAATGTTCCAAAGTTCTTAAATATTTTGAGAGAGGCAGCAGCTCAGATTTATAAATGAACTTGAAGCGATGTCATGAATGAAGAAATGTTGCACAGTTGATGGCAGTAAATGTAAATGTGGCACTTGCTACTTGATACTTGATACTTGAACAGCCTCTCCTCACTGGTTGTGCTGGCCCCAGCACAATCTCCATCTTTTGGAGATTTGGTGGTTAAGCCATTGTGGTTCCCTGGCATCCCGAGGTCAACCTTGCCAAAGTCTGACCCAGGTTTTCACCACCACAGATAGTCGCACCGTTTTGGATCAGAGGGAGGTTTGCCAGCATGCAACTTGTAGACGTGGATGTGGTTAACCTTTTTTAAAGAGGTATTTCGCGAATAAAAAGAGAAATTTCGAAAACAACAAGCCTATAATACATGTGATGTAATCTATTTTAGCTGCTCAGCGCATCAATAACCAATCAATACTGCGTATTCGTCGTATCGTAACTGTTTTCGTGGTGGTATATCTAGCATGTTGGACACCATATTGGTTTCTTTTCTGTTTTCTTTCAGTGGTCCAAATTTTACACAGGTTCGTTTTAGTTGTTCAGATATTCGGACTTCTTTTCCTTCATGTTCTACAGTTATGTCCTTATTTAAACATTCCTCTGCTTCATGAAGAGTCCATGAACGTCCACTGTCCGTGAGTTCCAAATCTTACCCTCAAGAGCAGCTGGTTATCACAGAATCATTTCGAAAGTTATAACTAGCATTGACACTACAAGAACTGGATTTCTGCTGTAGAACAAGTCCAACATCATAAGTAATTTCCAGACTTGTATGCGTTGATTTCAATCCTCAGCGTCCACTGTTATCCAGCGGCACTGCTGTTCCCTTTTGATAGTCGTTTTCGCCACATATTCTGAGTATTTTATTATTTTATTTATTCTGTTTGTGTTATTTTATTGCTATTTCATCATAATGTTTATATTGTATCATTGCACTTTTTTCATTTCTAATTTATCGCATAAGCTGTCCTCACATCTACTGTGCGGATCCCAGCACTTCCTGCATTCGACTGGTTTTCCGCGCATTCATCGTCCATAACGGTCTTCGAACATTTGGTGTGTTGCTTCGGCTGCTTCTTGAAGATTTCGTCTTCTTTATTAATGTCGTAGTATCCTGGTTAAGCCAATTGTCATTGCGGTCTTGGAGATAGCTGCGCTAAAGCGTTCCCACGTGTATTGGAGCAGATCGTTGAGGTGGAAGTCGAACTAGCGCCATTGCTTCCTTATCGACGGCATAATTAGCCACTGTGCTGCTCCCTCTCCCAAACTTCATCATATTCTATTAGCATATTATTATTTATTATCTTAGTATAAATTATTATATTATAATTATACTATGTTGTTACATTGTTATGTTATTACATATTTTTATGTTATAAATCTTATTATTTTTAATCTAATGATTGCCCTTCGACTACCTGACCGAGTAGTTACAGCTTCCAGAAAAGCAATGGAGAAATTCATTCACGATTACTACTCGAATCTCTTCAATAGCCATGTCCTCCTGTTCTCATATGAAATAGAGGATGGATGTCGTACTACCAGTTCTCCCTTACGAAATTCAGCATGCTATTTCGTCGGTAAAAAATTGAACAACACCAGGACCGGACCGGATAAGGTTAGAACACCTGAAGTACCTTCCCCCAGCCCTCATAAACGCACTGGTTTGGCTTTTCATATGTTACCTGTCTGAATGCATGGTACTTACTCAGTGGAAGACCAGCATGATTGTTTTTTTGAAGAGGGATAATCTCCGCGACATTGGGAACTATAGCCCAATCTGCTCACTGTCTGTCGTCTACAAACTTTTCACTCGAGTCATCCTAAACAGGATTGACAGAACACTAGACGAAGGACAGCCATGTGAGCAAGCAGGGTTTCGAAAGGGATTCAGCACGATGGACCACATCCACACGATGGCAAAACTCGTTGAAGTATCGCGAGAGTACAAAAGACCGACCTCTCTCTCTATCTCTCTCTCACTTTCATCGATTTAAAGAAGACCTTTGACTCAGTCGAGATAGAAGCAGTCATGGAAGCCCTTGATAGTCAGCGAGTCCCTACTCAGTGCATAAAGATTCTTCGTGAGCTGAATAAAAATTTCACAACCAAGATACCATCATTCTATGAAGGTATTAACATCGACGTCAAAAGAGGAGTTAGGGAAGACGATACCATCAGCCCAAAATTACCACCGCCTTGAGAGCGTCATGAGAACACTGGAACGGAACGGCACAACATGGAAGACAATCGATGGTCGGCAGTTACGTCATCTTCGCTTTGCTGATGACATCGTCCTTATAATACCAAACATTAGCCAGACGGAACGAATGTTTGCCGACTTTTACAACGCTTGTGGAAAGCTTGGGCTTTGATCAAATCTCACAAAAACGATGTTCATGAAGAACTTGTTAGGTATGAACCATCCACGCTCAACGGAATGATTATCTCTAAATGCTTCAGTTAGGCCTATATAAATCGAGAAATAAACACGATGAACGGCTTAGCTCCAAAGTTCAGCAGGAGGAAACGAGGGACCTAGGGGAGCTTTCAAGAGCGTTGAGGATGTAGTAGAGAAAACAAAGAACACAAGAACACCCGAGCTTTGGACTCCACGATTCTTCACGCCATGATGTATGCTTTATAAAGGTTTTGGCTTTATGATGTATGCATCAGAAACCTGGTCGCTGCGTAAACAGGATGAAACATCACTCAGCGTTATTGAATGCGCAGTCAAAATGACAATGCTAGGAATATCCTAAACGTCGAAGATAAGGTGGACGGGACACCATTGCGTATGAACAACAGCCGATGGACAAAAGCCGTTAGTGAGTGAGTGGATTTCTGGAGTTGTCGAAGGTTCTGCAGAAAGACCGCCAACTCGTTGGTCAGGGATCTTTACGAAAAGCCTAAAAGAAGGGTATGGTGCTCAACGAGTCCTTAGAGCGAGCAGAACCCACTGGGTTACTCTTGCGTGCGACGTAGAAAAATGAGAGATTTACTGAAATCCACTCACGTGACTCAACGATCAACAGGACTGCAGATGATACATGTGGTCATTGTTTACGTTTTATGCTATATTGTTCATTATCTTGTTATTTTTTTCAGCGGTTTACCGCCTCATCGTGGCTAGGAGGTTTCTAGGTGTCGAGCTGCGATGCACAGCGGGGGTCATTCCAGTAGGAGAGCCTCCCAAGCTGAGATGGATAGCGTTTGCATTAGGAAAACTAGCTAAAAATGAACCATTACCAGGATCCACCACCGTCTTAGTATCACCCTAGTCGCATGGTGGCGAATCTCCCTCTAATCCACAAGGACGTTGACTGCCTGTGGTGGTAACGAGCTAGGACAGGCTTTGCTGTCCTGACGTCTTGACTCTAGGGATCTACAATGGCTAGCCAACAAAACACCGAAAAATTGGAAGTCACAATTAGTTGTTAGCCAAGTATTGACAAAAGGCGACCCGGTTCGTTTCGTTTTCCATCGGCTGTTTCGCTGTTGAGATTAAACAGGGAGAACCTGAAGGTGCTGACGAGGATACGTTTGTGCTTCTTGCCGAAGGGCCTGGAAGGTGTATCGGAGAATTAGAGCGGAAATGATGATTGTGAGGCTATCGGTAGCGGTGCAACCAATATGGTGTTTGATACACTATAGATTTTTGATGAGAACTATTTTTTAACAGAATCAATTGCTTCTCCTTGGGTAGAAAGAAATAACGCACTTTAATCAATGATTTATTGCAGTCATCTGAGATCGCATTCAGCTTGTTCGTCTTTCAGCTGGTCGGCCTATTGATCGCTGACTTCACTGTCGTCGCAGGATTCCCTTTTATCATGAATTGATGCTTCAAGAGACGGAAGACCGTGTATTAAAATGACTATTAAACAACCGCAGGGCGCGTGTGGAGCAGTGCTTGGATGGAGGAGCCACTGTGACACACACGTGGAATCGATTCCCGCGCCCATACCACACTAAGCTTTCCATCCCTTCGGGGTCGGCAAATTGATACTTGACTTGTCTGGGAGGACAGCAACACTGGCTCGATACATCGTCAGGCCACCGCGAGTCATTGCAAAGGCCAAATATGCATTCAATTACCTCCAAACGATACTTAATGAAGTCGAATGCATGACCCATCCCTCAAGGATTGATCAACGCCGAGAGCTTTTTTAACCACCCGCCGACCTCTCCAACCGATTCGTCGTCAGCCGGTTAGTCGTGAAGCTATGACGACGGTCCTTGAGAGGCGAATAGGGGATAAATGTGGGCCATCAATAACCATATGACTCTCCATAATTTAGGCGGATCTAAAGAATGCAGTACCTATTTCTGCAGCGGCGATTTCGTACACGCCCTCTGTGTTTACGAATACAAGTTCATGCATGCGTACAATCTTAGGGCCATTCTAGATTGCCTAAATCTGGAAGGGTTAAAGTCACGATCTATACTTATAATGCAAACTCACCTGAATCTGAATTCTCCACTTAGGATCCGGTGATTCAGGCCAAGAGGATTAGGTACAAAGTCGTCGGAGTGGCGGTGGAGACGAACTATTCCTTGGAAGACGCGACAAAAGAGAAGTTGGCGGCATTGGTGTCCTCGTCAACACGAATTTAGAAATGAGAGTTAATTCCATTAAACAGCTAACAGCCCGAATGAGAAGCTTACATAAAGAGATACTGAACAATCCCGGTTTTGGCATTCTTTGTCTTCTAACCACCAAAATCAACCTACTAGGCTGTAACACATGAAATGTCCAACTTTAAATGTAAAATTCAAATAACCACAACTTTTTTCATACTAAGTCTTATTAATGGAAATCACACCATTAAAATTAGTACACTTTTTTCAAAAGGTGACAAGTTGGATTATTCTAGTTGCACAAAATTTTGGAGTTCTGTAAGCGATGAATTCGTTGAAGGCATTTTTTGTGTCGTCGTAGTTAGTGAAGAATTTCTCGCAAACGAACTGGTCAAGGTGCTTGAAGAAGTGAAAGGCAGTAGACGAGAAGACTGTTGAATATGGCAGATGAGACAAAGTTTCATAGCCTAACTATCAACTTTTGCACCGCCGCTTCCGCAACGTGGGTCGAGTGTCGTTGTAGAGGATTGGTCCTTTTCTGTTGACTAGTGCCGGTCGTTGTTGTTGGACTCTACGGTGCATTTCTTCAATTTGTTGGTATATTTCTCTGCCGTAATCATTTCGTCCGGACTCGAAAAGCTGTGATGAATCAGCCCAGCTGCAGACCACCAAATAGTCACCATAACCTTTTTTGGTGTAATTCCAGCTCTAAAAAGTGCTATGGAGCCTAATCACAATCTAGCCATTGAGCTGAACGACGCCGGTTGTCGTACAGAATCCACTTCTCGTCGCACGTCACAATTCGATCAGGTGAAGGGCCGTTTCTGTTGCGCGGAATAAGAGCAGACCACATTTCAAAACGGCGATTTTTTAAAATATCGTTTAATTCGTGCGGCACCCACTTGTCGATTTTTTTTGTCTTTCCTATGGGATTCAAGTGAGTGGAAATCGTTCCTGTGCTTACGCTAAACTGTTCTAGACGCTTTGGACAGTTTTTCGCGTGTTTGCTCCCACTAGTGCATTCAATTTGTCGTCGTCAATTTCACTGGAACGTCCGCGGTCTTCCTTAGCTTCGAGGTCGAAACCACCAGATCGGAATATCCTAGGCCATTTTTGCATTGTTGATTCACCAACATTACCTTCACTCTAAACTTAATGATATTCCGAGCTCCTGCTGCAGCATTATGTCCACTCTTTCACTCGCACAAAAAAGGACACGAATATCACGTCGATTCATACCAAAGTTAAAGTTTATGAAAACGGCAAAATAAGAAATCTTTAAAGACGTTAATACATGTGTTAAAGATTACACTCGTGGCATACAAGATTTTAGAAGCGTTTCTTAAGGTGTAACTCCGTTTTATTAAAGATTTGTTGTCACCAAATGTCCCAAAAAACCGAGAACTACTATGATTTTGTTCTTTGCCTTTATTTAATCATCATTAGCTGTGTACACAATAGTAAATCCAAGGCAACAAGGACAGTTAACTTCTAACCTGGATCTAGCTACGTATCAGGCAAGCTATTATGTATAGCAGTTGTTAGAGGTGCCCTACAGTACAAATGGGTCCGATCCCGCACCCCAGGCTCACCAAGCCTTCCATCCCTCCGGCTTGGAAAATTGTTACCAGAATTGTCCAACAGGATGGTAACACTGACTGTATACATCGTTAGGCTATTGCTAGTCTTTGTGTAGGCAGGATATGCGTTCAATTACCTCCATCGAAGCTAGGTCAAGTCGAATGCATGCCAGATCCCCCAAGGATTGATTAACGCCGGAGGCCTTGTTTTTTATCGTCTATTAGACATATGTATTATATTATACTCATTATGTTGCGCATCTATGCATTAGAAATTAAATAATAAAATTTCGCCTACAGATGGATGGTAGTCGTGTCGGCGTTCACTCATCTTTTACCGTACATCGCTTGCACCGCTTATCCAATAATTCTCACTGCCATGAACAAAGAGATTCACAATGCTCATTCGTCTATAATCGACAGCAAGAAAAGGCAGTTGAGTAGCATTCGGCACGGAGCCCTTCAGGTTGGATGAGATTCATATGAATTTGACAGGAATCTCTTGCTAATTTGTACTTTGGCTAAAGTTTTGCGAACTATTATTTATATGCGAAACTAGAAACTCCTAAAATGCTTCAACATACTTATCCTTATCACATCATCCATACATCATTCGTCGCTAACACACAAACCCACCACTGGTGTCAATCAAGCGAGCTAGCTACAGTCGAAAACATGCCTTAGATTTATTTCACTTTAATAACCTCTATTAATTTTTCCGGAAAATTTTTCCTCCCAACGGTTCACCGCCTCATCATGACTAGGAGGTGTTCCTGGGTGTCTGGCTTCGTTGTACTGCGACGTGATTCATCCCCCTGTCAGGGTCTCCCAAGCTGAGTGGGAGTCCCGCGTTTCTATGAGGAAGCCCGGATAAGAGTAAACTCATACGAGGATCCGTTACCGTCCTGGTACCACACTAGTCGCATGGTGGCAAATCTCCCTCTGATCCACAAGGGCGGCGACTGTCTGTAGTGGGTACGACCTGGTGCAGACTTTGGCTTGGTTGACTCTGGAACTCCAGGGAGCCACAATGGCTAAACCAGCAAAACTCCGAGACAATGGAGATTATGCTGGGGCTCGCACAACCGGTGAGGACGGTCCATCGAAGTATCCAAGTAAGTAAGGGAATTTTTTGGAGCTTACAAAGCACTCTGCGTTTCGTTTCAGGCCTACCTAGAACACTTTAAAACCGTTTTAGGGATAGATGGTTCTGTTCCACATAACGAAAATATGGGGCAGTCTTAAAATTTACCTGATCATGTCCATGATAAGATTGTTGCTACATAGTCGAATAATCACGTAGATGTTGGTCTTTTCTGGCTGATGACCAGTAATTATCAAAGAATGTAATGTTCTACGGCGACGGTAGAACAGTGGTAGTGATACTGTTGAATAGACGCAAAACCTTACTTCAACCTTGACCTGGACCAGTCAAACTTCCCATCCCTCTAGGGCCAAGAAATTGGTAATGGAAACAACTTTTTCCCTCTGATCCACAGAAATCTTGCGATTGTGATGAAGATTTGAGAACGCTTTAGCACGATCATCCCAGAGCTCTAGGACAAATGAACTCGATGAGAGTTCGATGACACTCGGAACACCAAAAATCCTCAAGCAGCAACCGACTGCCGAAGCGTAATCTGGATATCTTCGTGTAATATGCACAGACAAAACGAATGTAATGGAAGGACTTGGAGCAACACTTTATATGACGTCGTCTGGTCATGTGGAAAAAATCTGTTCGCTTTGTCAGTGCACTTCTCATACTGTTCTTTGAAGAGTGTGATGATGTCCATAGGTTTGCTTAGTTGTTATGCTGTAAAAATCCGAAGCCGGAAACCACAAGAACGCATGCACTTGAAGTACATTGAGGCGTTACACATTAGATTATATGACGTCTTTTTTCACAGCTGTAACCAACTTGACTAAAGAAAATTACGAATGAAGCACAATATAGTAATTCTCGTTATACAAGCGGCGCGTGTGGTGCAGTGGTTGGAGGCGCCCTGCAATACCCACATGGAACCGATCCTCGCGCCGGTGTCTCACCAAGCCTTCCATCCCTACGGGCTCGGCAAACTGGTGCCAGAGTTGTCTGAGAGGATAGCAGCACTGCCTCGATATTGGTTGGCCACTGCGAGTCATTGTAAGGGCCAGATATGCATTCAACTACCTCCAATGATGCTCGATGAAGTCGAATGCATGGCGCATCCCTCAGGGATTGATCATAGGCGAAAGCTTTATCGTTTATCTTTATCCGTTATACGTAAACCTTTGGTGTACTCGATTTTCAAAACCCACAGTAATTTACTACCTCATTCTGGCCGGGAGGTGTTCACGGGTGTTATGTTGCAATGCTGTGATGATTCCTACTGGAAAGTCACATAAACAAAGAAACAATTCGACATCCTGTGTCAGCAAGAGTAAGCTTATGTCAAATCGTAATTGTACCTTTGGCTACGCTGGTGTCGAAAACGATGAAAATAAAGCACATCATATAAAAGGCTTGACGCTGTTCTCAAGTGGAATGTACAACAACTATGACGTAATATGCACATTTACTAGATAGCCCTCCTAAATCGGTAGTCAAAAGAATATCGACAGTACTGAACACTTCCTTGTCGTCTCACTAAGCTGTCTTAGTGAAATGAATCGACATTTTCAGAAACTCATTCACAATTTCATTGCATTCCAAATTATATAAATAATAAGCACGTATTAATTAACCAATAAAAGCTTGCACTGAGGAAAAAGCGCGAACCCTTGCATGACTTTCTACAACTCTATAATCTCAAACCTTTTATATAGTTAGCTATGTGAACATTGAACAGCATTGATGATTCCCATGGAAACATCGATTTTCAGACGATGATGGCCCAGACTGACGTGTTCCAAACATGGATGCGCTTGGTGGTAGCCCAAGAGAACGCGGCTACGTGAATTTTTCGTGAATTCATTCGTCGATGAGAATGGAGAATCGAGTTACTCAGTGGTCATCGTCCATCCCCATTAGCTCATCCCTCACGGACAACCCTATTCAACTACGCATTACTGAGGATTTGCTTATTAGCTAACTATTCCCAGTAACACGTTTTAGCTAACGTGTAGCAATGACTATAATGGAGAGCGGAGTGATTGTGTTTCTCGCCTTTGAGGAGTGAATCTCAAGAGGTCTGATTACGAGTACTATTTCATGTGTCTTTGCTTGTGATTTTTATTTGTAATAAACTCTATAACTTAACGTAACACTTCATGGATTTTATTTTAGTACAATGTAAGTAAATTAACAAAAGAAAACAACGATGGTAACAAATACAACGACATAATGTCCATAAAGCACACCAACACTTTGGATTGAGTGAGGACTCTCGAGTGAAGAACTTGATAGGCTTAAAATTGTGCTCTGTTATCCACACTGGACTTTGTCCATCTTTCAGAATTATCTTACGATAAAACTATGAAACAAGATGGACACCTGATTGGAGAATATGTAAATTTTTGACAATCTTATCTAACCAAGCTAACCCGATAATTCATTACTGACTGACAAACACGCATCGTTTCTAGCCGCCCCCCAAAAAAAATGTCTTGAGCAAAACTGCTACTATATTTTGTAGTTATCTTCGAACTATGGCCTTAGTAGCACTGTATCGTTTGCGACAATTAACCCTGAACAGCTTACTTTGCTTAAACATCACAACAAGGAGTTAATATCGCGCAATATCCAGTGTGGATCGTCAAACAAATGAAACTAACCTAATCTCTCCTATAGTGAAAACAGGGGTAAACATTAAAAAAGAGAAAATAAAAACACTTGGTCTAAGATGGATTTGACAACGAAACGTCAGATGGCTGGTAGTAATTCCGTTCAGCATTCTGATAATCACAGTGGAGAAGATCGATATAATACGAACCGGGATAGAGCTAGCAGACAACTTAAAGACTCCAATATATTGTCATTCAACAAACAACAACACTACAACCCTACATTACGCCGCTGTGACCGTAAGTCATTCTCAAATATGCATCATAGCAATAATTCGCAGGATATGGAGTAAGAGGAGGTTCATCTGGAAAAAAGTAGTTCTGTAATGAAATAAACAAAGAGTTTTCTTATTCCACAGCTTTGAAAACTTTCCTCTCTTATGCTGTTACAGTTCTCTTAGTATCTCTATGTCTAACAATGGGGAATTGAAATATTATAAGGAAAACGACGCAAAAGTGTCAAAAAAGTATACCAAAAAATAAAGTCAACGATTAACTGTATATATGCGCGTTACCACAATCAGCACTCATTGCACACGACCTGTGTGGTTGCGACCTACATGCATTGAACATGTTTCGCTGCCACCGTGTAGAGGCATGTGTAGCGCAGTGGTTGGAGGCGCCTTGCGACATACACATGAGGTCGATCCTCACGGCCGTGGCTCACCAAGCCTTCCATCCCCCCCGGGGTCGGCAAATTGGTACCAGAGTTGTCTGGGGAGATACTAGCACTGACCCGAGACATCGGTAGGGCACCGAGAGCCATTGTAAAGGCCAAGTATGCATTCGATTACCTCCAACGGTGCTTAATGAAGTCAAAAGCATGGCGCATCCCTCAGGAATTGATCAACGCTGAGAGTTTTACCCTTCTTTATCCTTTTTATCCGCATTACAAGGTGCAATGAAAATCATCATTTTTGTTTCGTTAGTAAAACGAGTTGTGACACAAGAGTGCTGCAAAACAGCTCAAGATGTCGAAGGTTAAAAAAAAGTGGGAACTCCTTAGTTTACAAATATAAAACAAAGCTATTAAAGCACCAATAACTTTGGAACATTATATATACATATATATATATATATAAAGTTTTACTCTTGTAGCAATAAGAAACGTACTTGGATGAGGAAATGCTGGTTCGCACAGTGCCAAATAAAACATATCCAACGCTTGCTGAGAGCTCGTAAAAACATAGCCACTATTTACAGATCGCTTATGAACATCTCCATTGGAACTTGCAAACGAGATCGGCTGGAAAACTGAGATTTCATATAAACACAAAAGCCTAACTACTGTAATCCGTAAATATGCCAGTGGTAAAATTATTAGAAAACGCAATGTTATAGAATTCCACATTTTAAGTTACATTGGCTTAAAAAAACTCAACAACTCTGAGCAACAGGCAAGTACGTAAATCTAAGTGAAAACTATTGCCTGGAGTAGTAACCAATCAGAATGATCGTAGAAACAAAGTAGCCAACAACATTTAAAAGCACAAAATGAGGCAAATAATAACATGGAGGAATATAGCATGAGAACGGTAACCGCGCTAAACTTCGACCCAACTTATTTCAGCTCAAGATGAACTTCAGAAAGTCAAATAAAACCAGAAGGATCTAGAATCTTAACCTACAAAATACAACCACAACGTTGCTGAGATATTTGCAAAACTCTGGACCGCAGGTGTCTATGGTGGGGAACGAACGCGTTATTGTCCTGTCCGGGGAGTAACGCGTTCACCACCACACCATGCGGGCCCTTCCTTTCGCCTGTCTCTCAGCTATTTCTACCGATCTTTTTGCCACAGCAATCACCCGTCAGCGGGGTTGATCGGGGGAGCGCAAATCGGCATAGAACCCAGTTAAGCTATGGCTGCAGTTCAAATCACAATGTTTAACGTTTTGTTTTCGAAAGGAAAAGGCGAAACGAAGGACCCGCATGGTGTGGTGGTGAACGCGTTACTCCCCGGAAAGGACAATAGCGCGTTCGTTCCCCACCGCAGACACCTGCGGTCCGGACAAGCTGCTTTATTCGTAGAACTGCATACGATGAAGGATCCAATGTATACCTAATGTTTACGGTAGCTTCGCTTGCGCAGGAAATTTGAGAAACCTGCATTTTCCCAATCTTCATCAATTTTATTCCTGACAAACTTTGAAGAAAACATTACGTCAAAATTACACACACGCTTTTTGGCGAAAGAGAAAATCCTCTCCTAGAGGTCGACTCAGCTGAATACTGTTCAGCTATGTAAGGATAGAAGGATAAAGCTCTCGGTGTTGATTAATCCCTGAGGGATGCGGCATGCGTTCGACTTTATTAAGCATCTTTAGAGGCGACTGAATCAAACCTGGCTTCTACAATGACTTGCGCTGGCCCACCGAGTCAGAGTTGCTGCCCTCCTAAACAAGTGTGGTACTAATTCGCCGACCCTGCAGGAATGAATGATTTGGTGAGGCAGGGGCTATGGATCGAACCAATGGCTAGGTATATATTGCAACGCACCTCTAACCATTGGGCTACACACGCCCTTTTTCAGCGATTGTCATCAAAGAATTGTCTATAAATATCACACCTTTCCATTGGGCCGTCAAGTCACAGAGGGCGTTGCTGATGAAGAGGCTCTAAAGGGCGACGGCACTATACATAGGGAAGCCGCTCCGCATCAGCAGGTGGCGCCTACTTGCCTTTTGTGTCGACAGAATAGCATAAAGATCGATGCTAACGATGGTGCTGAATATGACTCGCACGCAGAGGACAGTGTGAAATGCACATGCAGCAGTCGGCTTAAATTCAAAGGCCAACATCGAAACAAAGCAAAAAGACAGTCTTCCGACAAATGAGCTATTGGTGAACACTTTTCCTATTATAACGGATATTAACGGCTAAACCAGCATATTGAAACAAGATTAAAACACGGTTGAAAGAAAGGTAAACGAAGGACCCGCATGGTGTGGTGGTGAACATGTTAGCCTCCGGAAGGGCTATAGCGAGTTCATTCCCCGCCAAAGACACCCGCTGACCGAAGTTTTGCAAATACCTCAGCATAATTGTAGTTATATTTCACATATACTTTACCATAGAAAAGAACAGATAGTAATTGAAAACTAACTACTCGTATCACTCAAAAAAACACGTCAACAAAGTCGTTCGGACATCGAAACAAACAAGACCATTACAGGGACACAGAACAGTAAAGAATGGAAGTGAAAATGAAGAATCGGGATAATGAGAAATTCCTACCCGTATCTTTCTCCCATTGTGTACCTCTTCAATAAGATCAAGAAAGAGTTTCACAAAGACTCCATCTAAGCGCAAATCATATGATGAATTTTACTATTACGAATCTGATGAAAAATATGTTGGATGTTCAAATGTTGTGAAAAATAATATACCTACAGAAGAAAACCTATTCCTCTGAGCGAAATTAGTCCCTCTCGACCAGGCAATACGAATGTTTCTTGATCAGTGGAATACTGACGCACACTTACATTTCGTGTCAAATACAAGCTGAACGATCTTCAAGTGATTTCTAGCTGATCTACATAACTTCTAAACTTCTCAGCATGACTACTACCATTTTGACTTCGACAGTAAATACGCTGTACTAGGGTCGGACCACACAACAGGTATAAATCTGTATAGGATGCCGATGAATGGAACATAACTGAACGATGGTGTGCCATAGAGGTATAAGACTGCTTACCATTACATCCAATTCTGCTAAATCTCCGAAATCCGTTATAATAAACGTCTTGGTATCAATGCTAGTTGATGGAATATAACAGTTAACTAGCTTTTACTAAAACGAATTGAATTCATTCTCGGCGGAGACGTTCAAAAGCATTAAAACGTTGGACTGCATGGAAAGGGCAAGAACTTTCCGTGGATGAAAAACGCTATGGGTTCCGTTCCGGGAAGACTACATTATCGATAATTGCGTGGAAATCCCAAACTACGTTAAAATTAGCAGAAATCATTAAAAGGATAGACCTGCTGGAAACGAGCTGGAGACGTAGTGGTAAAAGAATACTCGGCAGAGAAAAAAAGCAGAAGTAAAGGTGAATGACTTTCCAAAAAGTATACTGCACCTTATGTGCTTTTTTATGTTGTTAAATAGCTATAGAGAACAGTTTAAATGAACCTTTCCAATGAACAAAAAGCAACCAAATTTTCAACCTCACAAAACCGCCAGCGTCAATCCGACAGATTTCAGATAGACAATGTACGAGTAGCACTCCCAACCAGTTGGTGCTATACCGCCGTATGACTTCTTAATCTTGACTTTGACTTGAATACCAAGCTGGTTTCGCGCTTTTAAATGCTCCACATGAATCCCCATAAAGAGAAAAAGGTGGTAAAATAGAATTCAAGGTAGTGTAACCTTCCTTAAATTAGACCATTAAATTATATTAGAACTATAACGAAGCTCATCATAAACACCATCCTCATTCATAACACCTACGACAAAGCAATAAAATGTCTTGTATGTGCAGCGCTGCATGAATTCGTGAATAAGTGTTGTCTATGCAAGTAAGTAAACTTTGTATTACAATTAGCGAAAGATATTGCCGTCAATGTCGTTGTTGGTGTTCTTGTTGGTAGATGGCTGACGTTCCGGCGATTTCGCCTTCCTGAGAACCGTGCTGTTACGAGTGGGAAACCCATCGACCAACAACAACATCAACAATACCGACGACAACTTATCCCAACCTCGCATCAGTTCATAAAAACATATTGACTACTTATGTCCAGGTTTATAGAAAGCCGGTCTTTTGAATTAGCGAAAGCTTTGCAAAACAAAAACACTTACAAGAGTCGTCATTTCTTGTGTAGTCATAACAGATGAACTAGAAGGTTTGGGACGTATAGCTGGTGCTCTCAGAGAAGGAGGTAAAACGTGCTTTACCATTTGTGATGATGCTGTCCTATGCGGCGTAACATTCACGCCCAGAGCTTGAGCTATGGAGGCAGAAATCACAGAAGCTGTAAAAGACTACCACAAGAGATTACAACACCACTGTTTTACAATCAAAAATGTTTATCTTGTATTACAGATAGAATTTAGACAAATTGACAACTTCCATCTAAACTCCACCTGTTCCGTCTTTTCCTTCGTTATTAAAAATAAGACTTATTATGTGTTTATTAAACGATGGTTTCAAGTTATGCATTCCATTGGGGTCGCCTACAAAGTAAACCGAGGCAAATCAAAAGATGTAAACATCATTACCACCAATCTGTATTAAGGTTTCAAAGTATTGGGAATAAATGAACGATCATACTAGGATGAGATCTTAACACAGATGTTAACCTCAAAAACAGTGGCTATTAAGAGATCACAGTTAATATTTAGTTCGGAAATTCTGCAGAAAAACCTACGATTATTCGTCTTCGGAAGCTCGACCACTGATGCACCAACTCTTCCTATAAATAGCTATTATTATTTTTCAAATTAGCTAAAGGAAGTAAAAACAAATTCTAAAAACACAATTTCAATTAGTTGTCGATATTCTTGTCGAGCAAACTCGAGGTGTAAACTTATTCTTTATCCTTTTAAATCTGACGTTCCGGCAGTATCGATTAGCTTTAACCCCAGCTTTGACAGGATAAAGAATAAAGTTACATCTCGTGTTTGTTCAACGAGAATATCGAGAACCATCTGATCAATGGCGAGGTTAATAGAAAGTCGGTCGTTGGAATTACGACTTCAATCTTCATGTAAATGCACCACGGAATGTCACACGTTATTGCAACAAGTGCTGATGACGAAAACATAATGAATGGCGCTTTCGAAGCTACATTATTTCAAGTTAGCCTTTGTGAATTAAGCACTGAAAATTCACATGAACAGCTCCTCACTAACCTTGCACAATTATCACCCTCTCAGGTTGCTTTGAAGTACTGTCTAAAGCAGGAACTTGTTCGCTTGCAGGTATAGTAAGACCTGAAGACGTACACGGAGCAGACGTGCGCAGTTTTTTCGCAGGAACTGTTGCTGGCATGAACTCCTCCGTGATCTATAAATTCGAGTGCTGAGATGACGGAAAAAAGGGGCTGAGAAGTAAAAGTGAATATATTCTAACAATAAACTACAAAGACACACAAAATCTCAGCTAGACATAGTTACAGGGTGTGGTCGGCAATATTGGTAACTCTACTTTCAGATGAGGTATAATCTGGTCTCCTGGAATTCCTTGACAAAATGACAAACACTAGCAGAAGAAATCAATTTAACAGATAAAAATCAGCGCGCTAACCTCTAACTACAAAAGGAGCTCCATCTAAACGTGTTTCACTCAAACATGTCGAAAATATCGATGCACTTTTACTGCAGGTTAAACACAGAGACCAAACAGACTATGGAGAAGCACTAAGATTATTAATTAACTCCTAAAGAAGTTCAAAGAATCATGTGAGGCAATTCCAGAATTTCACACAGCGACAAATTCATGATGAATAATCCGCAAATGTTAAATTGAAGAAGTTCTCCAACTCATTTTTGAGTTCAAAAAGACCTTTGCTCAATTTTTTTTATCTTCTAGAAGATTTTCAAACCGCATTTAGGTTAAGAATGATCCGTTGTAGTATCCTGATTCTCCAAAAAACCACCACCGTTTTTTGTTTCGTTTTCTTTTTTTTTAAACCAAACTAGCCCATTGTGTGCATCACGGGAAGCTACATCGCGCGTCGTAAACGAGGTTAACCTAACAACACTTCGATAGTTCACTGAAAACCACTTCCTGAAACTCTACTTGAAAAATGAAGTTGAAATAAGTACATCTTCACATTAATGAACGATGTGCACCGAAGCCATCGTTTCTTTCGCAAATAACTAAAGAATACGTGAGCAAGTCCTTTGCTTAATGATAAAAAGCTACCTCTTGGCGTTGATCTATCTCTGAGGGATGTGCCATGTATTCAACTTCATTACACATCGCTTTAGGTGATTGAATGCATATCCAGCCCTTACAATGACCCGTGGTGGCCTATCGATGTACCGAGCTAGTGCTGCTACCCTCCCAGAAAAGTCTAATAACAATTTGACGACCCCGGAGTGATGGAAGGCTTAGTGGACCTGGGCGCCATTTATACCATGTCCACTGCAGGGTGTGTTCCACCACTGCACTACACGCGCCCCTAGTTAAGAATTTATATACGTATATATATATATATATACATAATATATATGTACATATATATTTATGTACATATATACGTGCATGTGCTTTCTATATGAAAATCTACCACAAGTACGACTACGTGTCTAAATAGTTGTGAATCTAATTAGCAGTTTTCTGGCATGTAAACAAATCCCTCCTATCTCCCGTTGTTAGCCATTTATACTTTGCACATGAATGACAAATTCAACAATACCAGAAAAAACAAAGCATACGTCTTTCGTTTTAGTAGCAGAAACACGAGACGCTTCGAAATAGGGTTTCCTCGCCTCATTGTCAAGAGTCCTCCACTTCTCAACCATCTAAACACTGCAATGTGAGGAAAATAAAAAATAAAGGAAATCTTTTCAAAACCGTCCACCATCCGCGTAACGAGCCCCATCGGTAAGTCGGGATGAGTTTTCATCAATTTCTCTCGTTCCTCATTAGCGAACACGGTAAAGGCATTAGCCGAACGTCGCTTAAGATCTGTAATTAGATACTCAGAAGCAGATTAGGTACAGAGAATCTGCTTTACTTAAAGTAGTACTGCTTGAAAGTAAGCAGTAGGACGACAAATACTCCACAGTCTACCATCCTAAGATCAAAGCATATCAACAGCAGAGATTCCACACAAATGGAATTAGTAGCACTAAAATGAAGACTGAAGAATAACGAGAACCCTAAACAGAAGCCGATCCATGACGAAATCCTGAACATGAATAAAGAGACAATAAATAAGAGATAAAGCTCTCGGCGTTAATCAATCCCTGAGGGATGCGCCATACGTTCGACTTCATTAAGCACCGTTGGGGGTGATTGAATACATATCAGACCTTTACAATGACTCGTGGTTGCTTACTGATGTATAGAGTCAGTGCTGCTATCCTCCCAGACAAGTCTGGTACCAGTTTGCCGACCCTGAAACGATGGAAGGCTTTGTGGGCCTGGGGCGCAGGGATTGATCCCATGAGTACTGCAAGGCGCTTCCATCCTGCGCCACAGGGGCTCCGAATAAAGCGATATGACCTTGTAACAACAAGGACTAAAGTCCAGACAAAGTTGTAAAATACTTCAAGAAAGCTCTTAAATAAAGCTATCAACGACTTGCTCTTTAATAAACGTCGTATCAAACCCCAAAGATGCCCCAGATATCGATAGCAAGTGATATTCTACGTAGAACATCGACAGGCACTCTTCTATTCTATGTAAGCTAACCTGCATATCGATCTTGTTTCAGAGCTGCTGATAAAGCGGGTGACTCAGGTCTGAATGAAGCAAATTGAACAACAAATAAGAAATCGCACCTAAGGCTAAGGAATTACCAACCTAGGCTTCCCGTTTTCATCTTCAGGAGAAGCTGCACGACTACCAGATCCAGATGATCGGGAGGATAAAGACATCTGAGGTATCTGAAAAACAATACATGATATAAAACTCTATATCCGATATGAAACGCATGCAAACATGAAGGAAAAGAATCGAGTATTCATTAAAAGCAACGAACTTTGACTTACGCGACACTGAATGATGAGGAGCTAATGACTGGGAAGAGCTAAGCCGGTCAAAACACTTTTAATCCCTATACAGATATACCGAAATAAAACTAGCTGCGAGACAGGCGAAACAAAGGTCTCGCAAGGCGTGGTGGTGAACGCGTTAACCTCGGAAAGGGTAACAGTGCGTTCGTTCCACACCGCAGACACCTACGCTCCATAGTTTTGCAAATATCTCAGCACCGTTGTAGAAATCCTAATTACCAAGAAGAAAAAAGAATCAAGGAACAAAAAACAACTAGGGAGAACCAATTAGGACCCGAGAAGTAAGTTTCTGAGTACAATGGGGACGGCAGCAGCGACTGTGAGTATGGAGGAGTACGCGAATTCTCAACTGGTCCACGATATTTCACTCGTAGGTGGGGGGAACGGGCAAACTACCTCGAAATCACGTCAGACGTCCGTCATCTTCAGTCTGCTCGGGCATTCGTACTGTCATAGTCATACTTTTGTGATTGTAAATCTTTCGCTGTCAACAAAATGCTCTGATGACCCACTCTATTCACTACACCACCCAATTGACGGTAGTTGCGGTATCGGAGTGCGCCTAACCTCAGACTGGGAACGATATGCATTGACACGTCTTCGCATCGTCGCGACCGGTCTTTTTCCCATTTTTAATGGCTTTTAAGGACTTTATCGGAGCAAATTGACAATCAAGCGGTCTTCTGCAGCTAAGAATTTTCAAATGCAAGAGACTAGGCTACACCATGATCTAGTGTCTTGGCGTTCACATTTAATGGTTTATTGTCTTTCTCAACTCTATTCTGTTGTTGAAAACCTAAAGATTTCTGCACAACTGAGTCATAGTTATACGCAGTAATTGTAAGCAAGCAATACTTAGCAGCAGAAGGAGAACACCTCCCAACGGTTTACCGCCTCATCGTGGCTGGGAGGTGTTCCTGGGTATCGGACTGCGATGTGAAGTGGTGGATTCGTCCCACCGGCAGCTTCTCCTAAGCTGAGAAAGAGTCTGGCGTTTCCATCAGGAAGCTTAGCTAAGAGTAAACCAACACCAGGACCCACCACCGTCTTGGTATCAAGTCGCATGGTGCTAAATCTCCCTTTGACCCACAAGGGCTGCGACTGCCCGTGGTGGTGACGACCTGGGGCAGACCTTGGCCAAGCTGTCCTCGGGATTCCAGGGAACCACAATGGCTTAACTAGCAGGTCTCCGAAAAGTGGTGATTGTGCTGGGGCCCACACAACTAGTGATGACGGGCCGTTCAAGTATCAAGTAAGTAAGAAGGAGAACAACATGCGGAATCGACTCCGAGAAACATGTAGTTCGAGCATTAGGTACAAAATAAACAGCAGAAGCCTATGCATATGTACATATCCTGAAACAAGTAATCTATATATAAGCATATAAGAACTGGCTTCATTGTTAGCATGCGGTGTTAGCGATCCCAATCCTAGTCAGTGAGTCCTGCTACAGGTTCTATTCCCAATGAATGAGCGCTGCTACAGGTTTCAGTCCCTGTGAATGAGTCCTGCCACAGGTCCTATTCCCAATGAATGGGTCCTAGTAAAGGTTCTGTTCCCAATGAATAAGTCTTGCTACAGGTTTAAATCTCAATGACTGAGTCCTGGTACAGGTTTTAATCCCGGTGAATGAGTCCCTGCCACAGGTTTTGAGAAAGGCGAGACCGTCATTGCGAAGACAAATGGTGAGGGTTCATAAGGAACACCAGAACTTAGTTTCACCACTGCTTACTCGCTTATACGACGTGTACCATTTGGAGTATCGTGGAGAGTCAAGTTTCCGACCAGGTACACGGGTTGTTTCCATTTGTCCTGATTGCACTTTGTTGTGTTGGCTTATAAGTCCTCACTCTCTTCAACTCTATGGATAAAAAAGTCGCCCCGTCGTATCAAGACTTCGATTGCCCATTCTCGATTCACCGTCGGCTCTTCGTTTTGTTCCACTTCACCTTGTGCTGGTTTCGGGGCGATAATGTTTTTAATCAGCGGTTGCCTTTGAAACTCACATATTCGGCCCCCTTTCCAGTCCGTACGATGTTGAGAATGCAAATCAGCATGCGTCTTCTTTCTCACTTTTCGTATACGTTAGATGACATTGTCTTTCCCGTCTAAAACCTTGAGCTAGATTCTTGGAAACTAACTCGGCACGCACACCGTCTGTGGAGTGCTCAAATCTCTAACGCATCTTTCCTTTCATCTAGTATGGTAGAATCGATGTAATGTGTTCTTCATCTTATTTCCATCATTTTCGATTCCTATGTAAGCTCCTAAGACTGTTCGCTTCCTAAATTTTGTGCTCTGGTTTCATGTAGTTGATCGAGTTAGTTTTCCTGTCGCACTTGGAGGCAATCACTCTGCGGTTGCAATTGGAACATCAGCGGTAGATTCGTTTTTAAGGCTGTACTCATAGAACTGATTTGTACTGAAATCCTTCCACAAATATATTCTATATTAGCTAATATTCTCTAGGTTTTCCTTGTATTTTTTGTTGTTGGATTATCGTTGGATTACTAGTCGACTGTCATCCGGCTATGGTGGGATTCTCTCGATCAACGAAATGGATGACTCGCTGCCGTCGGAGTAAGCGCTGTTGTCCTAGGAAAATTCAAGCCACAAAACATCAAATCTCACTCCGATCTATGAACAGTGATAAAACCTACTGCGGTGACGACATGGGAATTCTCGGGACGGCTGCATCGGATTTCCAGGAAAAAACACACTCGACCAACGTTCAACATGTCAAGGAGGCAAGTACACAGATCTACAGGGTGGCAGAATTCACACCCGGACCGAACTACATGCATGCAATGCGATTCCAGCACAGTGAGACGAATGATCGAAGTGCTGGAAGATGCACGATATGTGGAGATGGGTCATTCAAGTATCTGAGTAGCACTACGGTATCGAATTCTTGGTATTTGTCATCCAAGTTGAAGGGTTCGACGTTTCCATTTTTCGACAAACGAACGTTTGCCACTGCAGAATGCGGCGAAATGCATTGTAGGAATTGCTGCCATCGTCCGAGTAGTGCTTAGAATACCACAAAAATGACAGCTCTTCAAGTTGAATTCAAAGAAAACATCCAGAGCTTTCGATTTAAATAAAGAATGATCCCATATTTTCGCTAGGGACCGTGGAAGATAAGAGGTGAACGGAGAAGTCCATTACTGTGGCATGCTATTACCTATGTGTTACATCCACAAGAAGGCCCATAGTTCTTGGAAAAAATCAAATCGATCTAAGCCGTCTTTCCTTTGAATAATTAACGTCTATGCAATTGTACATCATGTCTTCCTGCTACAAAGACACTCAAATTTTCAATTATCGCAGGGGAGGTGGTGCCGTTCATTAAGATCACGGTTCTGATTCAATGACATCCATCCGGAGATCACCGAGTCTTCGAACCCACCAGGGTTGACATACTGCTATCACAACTACCTAGGAACAGCTCAATCCGTCCAGTTTGCGTGCGGAACGCTCCAACACGGCTATACGAGGACTCCAAAGAGAATCGACTCGACCAGCATTCAACAACATTTATAATAAAGGCGGAAATCCTCAAGTAGCAGCTGAACCCACGAGCAAAAAGAATACTATTACCATGAGCACCGAAGTTTTATAATTAAAACTCTCATGCCGGCCTGTCCATCCGCACTTGTGCAACGATTCAGACGGATTCCCTGTAAAGTTTTATCAATCCCCGTTGCGATTAATGACTTGCTTGGTGAATTAAGTTCGTTTTCACTGCGGTTACCATTAGGGAAGCTCATCCTATTTTCGAAATTTTGGCCTATATAGTGCTCCTTTCGATCATCTTTGATCGCTGACATGGATCCGAGATTTCATTTTCTTCCCTGTGTGATGTAGGATAGTTCAAGCTGCCTTGATAGTATGCTCTCTAGCGATGTTTGCTGCTTCCTCTTATTCAGCTTTCCGAAGCACACTTTATGGCGGGAAACATCTTGGAGTCGAAGATTTGCGTGTTTGCTGCCTTATACACTATCTCATCGATGCTATAAGAAGTCGCTCGCTTCATTCTGGTCGGCCTAGGAACTATAGCGCCGATCGTGTTAGCTGGTGAACATCATGGATTGCAACTTTTCTCGTAGACATCGTTCTCTTATGGATCTACCGAAGAGCAATCTTTCCACATGTGTCATAGTAACCAGAGGCCGAATACTTAGTGCTGCAAGGTTGACGTCGTCGTGAATGCGAAGGTAGTATACCTGCAAGCTTTTGGCTTTCATTCCCGTACTATTCCATTTTGATCTTGGATGACATTCTCGAAAATGATGTGAATTATGTTTCGCGTTGCAAACTCTGACGTAATTTGACACCTTTCTGTGACTAGTGCAATTCTATGTTGGCATTTCAGCTGAAGAGTTTTTCGGGAGCGCTGTGGTTGTTATTCCATATTATGTCCATAACGGCATTCAAAAAAGTAGAGAAGGTCGCTAGTAATGGTAGCTCGAGATTTCTGCTTTTGATTTCTGCAACTTCCTCTTCTTTTTGCAAAAAGAAATATTGTGCAAACGAGACGATGGTTACACCATGTAGACAATTTCCTTATGCTAACTTCCAGCAGAAATTTCAGCCTTTCCAGGAACTCCTCCAAAATTGTGAGGTCTCAAGAATTGTCTTGATTATCATGGACCCAAACAGCTTCTCTCTGTGGTAGTTCACTTCCCTTTCGTTCGTTCCACATAATGTGCTTCAATCTGGGCTGAGCGTTAGTGATGAATTCATCGACAATGACGTTGTATAATATGTGATCTTCCATGTAGAGGTTTCCCAACAGGATAACAGGATGTGTCGGTCTGACTTTTATTATAACTTAATGTTATGGTTCAAGTGAAGGCATT